CTGCATCCTAGTCGAATAAAAATGATTATAGGTATGAGATTATATGTTCTATCTATATGAAGATAGGAGTTTTCAATGAAATAATAAAAAACGAAGCTAGCCCATCCAGTAAGAGCCACCTAAGGTTGGGAAATGCAAATCAACTGTGTGGCATTTAGTCCTACCAAGGAATTCCCACAAATTGGCATACGATGAGTCAAATAGTTATTGAGGGAATCCAAATCGTTTTGAGATTGTGGCGACAGTGAAAAATGCCGTGTGTGGAATTACTAAGATGGGGTAGCCCAAGTGAAAGCCATAAAAGAACGCAAAAAGCAACCAATTATTTGCCTTCTTGCCCGTACAGCCTATCACTCCCAGGCAGAAAGCACGCACCAAGGGCAGGGAGCATGGAAGTTGCGCCTGGGTGCAAGGCAGGGGATGAACTAGCCAAGGAAACCGGCCAATCAGGGAAGAGATAACTACACAATTTCGTTCGGGCTTATAACTAAACAAAATTTCTTCCACCATTGAGAAAGAATATGGAATAAGGTGTAAAATACGTATATAAGACTGTAGAACTAACATTGTGTCAGATCTGTGTGGTGTTTCACTGTGTGCTTTTCGTTAACCGACGAAGCAGTTTCCTGCAGAGCCAACTTTCCGTGCTAAAAATGGACGCAATTAAGAAGAAAATGTTGGCTATGAAGCTGGAGAAGGAAAACGCTATGGAAAAGTAAGCGAAATGATGTGCAAAATTATGTGTATTTAGGACCGTGCAATTTGAAAATTTATTAAAGCAAAGGGAAATGGAAAAGGAACAAAAGGAAGAAGAACTGTCTGAGATGAATAATAAAGTCAAGATTGCTCAACAGGAATTTGACGACCTACAGGACAATGTGACGGAGGCAAACACTAAACTGGAGGAGACTGAAAAACGCGCCACCATTGTAAGCAGATCTCTATCTTAATTTTTTTTAATTTATAAAAAAATTTGTTTTAAAAAAAAGACTAGTAAGTTGATTTTATTCTTGGTAGTGGCGGTTGTATATCTCAAGAAATGACTGGTGGCACTGATGGCCTTACCACTATCAGGCGAAAGATTAGTGAAATGCAGACTAATATGCAAACTTACCAAAATAAGGTAGATGAATTAAATCACTCAATTAGAGAGCATGAGGCAGAAAAGGAATTGGTAAGTTTTTTTAAATGTTGTTCAGCTCTTATATGGATCCATTACCTAGTCTTTCTGTAACTCATGTATATACTTTCATTAGAAATATCCTATTTTCATATTTTATTAAATCAGGCCGAAGCCGAAGTTGCTGCCATGACCCGAAGAATCAGGCTACTTGAGGAGGAT